CAGGCCTGGAAGAACATTTATGTTCTGCGTTAGGAGGTCTTTGCTTTAGCAATGAGCTCAGATCAGCTAAGACAGAGCAGAGCAGCTTCAGTAGCAGCGACCATTTTGATTAGAAGAAAATGGCAAGAAACTGTAGATGTAAAAGAGATGGGAGATTTTTTGAGGCAATTAATGCTAAACCCTCTAAGAACAAAACGTGGAAAATTAAGATTTTGGCATCAAATCTGTGACTAGACTATGCGGCGGGGGGAGAGCAGCTCACTTGCTCATGTCAAAACTGAACATCTACTGATTTACAGGCAGCACCTCCAAAAAGCAACATGAAAAGCCCTTCATATGGCAAAGGGAACGGATAGAGTTGATGCCCAACACAAGAGCTTGGATTGAATGCTTTTCCTCCCTACCACTGCCTATTTCTTAGGCAGTGTGGAGCTGGATGTATTCCAGGAATATTCAAACAAGGATGTATTCCAGGAATATTCAAACAAGGATAGCTTCTGCCCTGAACTCCTCCTTGCCAAGAGGCCAGAACATGAGCGCGCTCCCCACAGCTGGAGGCAGAAGAAATGCTGCCATCAGCTGGATGTCAGACCACAGGCTGCACCTCCAGGCTTACAGCCTTCCCCTTTTTCCAGTTTTTTATTCAAGTAAGTCTATTTTTCTCGTGCTTTCAGATACATTTGTTTTTTTTTCCCCATGGAAGACACAGATGAAAGAATTATTTCCCGTCAGTACAATTTTTACCTGGATGACATGCAATTCCTTATTTGGTTAAAACACGGGTTAATCGGGTTACCCTCCGTTCTGCTTCATCCATCACTCGTACAAAGCTGTCTCAAAGAGGACAACAGGACTCAGAGCTCTGGCATTTGCTGTCAGAGCAGTGACTGCAGTTGTATTTGGAGGAGTTTAACAGAACGATGATTCACATCTGCTCTAGTTTAAAGATCCATGAAAACAGAGCACTCGATTAGAGGTGTTATCTACTCATCTACTATGCAAGCATCAAGTTTTCTGAGTCGGGACACTTTTTACTGGAAATAGAGGATGTGAAGCCCTGCAGCACCGTGGGCAGTGCCGGAGGCTGCTGCTTCCCTCCTCTCTCCCTGGACCAGCAGCAGGAGTTAAGCTCCTGAGGCCCCTGGGTCTCATGGGAAACAAGATGCTGTTTGGTTTGGTTTTCATTCCATTAGAGGAGCCTGCACATGGCAGCTCCTTGAGGGCTGTGTAACTAACTTTCTCTAGAGAGGGCATTCCTCAAAGCATTTGCTCCCTTTCAGCCAAATAAACAGTGCTCCTGTCTCCACACGTTCCCCTGTGACACCCTGCACAGACCCTTCCAGCCCACACGGTAGGTCAAGCTGTACTCAAAACCAGAAGACACCGACCTGAGTCACAGACAGCATCTTCTCCAACCACAAGATTCTTCTACTTGACACACTTGAGTACCACAATGTTTCATAAAATGTCTGCAAGCTGACTAAAAAATTCTGTCCTTTTCAAACTGCAATAGTAGAACAGGGGACAAAAACTGCAGGGAAATTTTGTTTTGCTTTTTCTCTTTATATACAAGGTTACCAAATTATAGTGTAATAGTATAGAGGTAAGAAGCAACAAGGCCAAAGTATCGAGCCTCACAAGACCAAAAAAAATCTGGCTCTTCCAGTCAGTTTTTATTATATGCTAAATGTGATTAACTCCTCTACTTTTGCTCTTAGGCTGTCAAAAACTATGGTACAGATGGGCATCTTTCTATGGTACAGCTGGAAATGTGGCAAATCAAAGAGGAATCTCAGAGCCACAGCAGACACTGGTGGGATTTTCCAGAGTGGACTCAGGAACCAAACACACCTGGGAGCCAGGGGGAATCAATAGCAAATCTAGATTTTGTGGAGCAAGGATGAAGGAAAATATCTGTAGATAACTGCTGTTATTTGTCAGATGAGAGCTAGAGCTTCAGTCTGGGCATTTGCCTCTGCAGTCTTTCTTCAGCCCTTCACCTTCCTTCTCAGAACGTAGATAGCATTTCCCTACCTCATTTGTCCCATTTTTCAGGAGGCCGCAGCCAGCAAAGCCTTCTCTCTGCCTTTCAGCTCTATCAGGAAGCAGTTCCTAGTCACAAATGCTTTATCTGCTCTGCCACTAACCTCGCAACAAAGGGGAAACGCCAGGAAGCCTGCAGGGTTAAAAAGAAACACTTCATAGCATGAGATTGCAGACCAAGCACCATGGCCAAAAAGCTTCCATTACATTGAAATTGCTACCTGTGTTGCAGGCACCTACAAATAAAAGCGGTGTGGATCACACTATGCCTTTTTTTTTTTTTTTTTTTTAAATACTACCCTAAGAACGTAAATAATTTTAAAATGAAGTTAAAACTTTATAAATTGATTTTGGCAATATGAACTTGATGCTTATTCAAACCATTAACTATTGTTAAAAAAAAAAATCTGTGAACTACAGCCCTCAAACAAACGGGCTTTTATGGCCTTTATCATTTAGTTCAAAGTAAATACTTGTTATTTACTGTTAGTTTCCCACACTAGTTCAGCCAGCAGGGTCTCTAACTTCTGTAGGTTTTGAGAATCATGTAAAAATGTAATTGATAGCCCCTTTAAAGCGCTGCTGAAATGCAGGATGATCGACAGTACAAAAGGTCTCGGAACAGGTTGAGTGTCACACAGCTTACCAAGAACTAATCACCATTCCAGCCTTGCAAAACCAAACACGTTTCCACCTCAGCCCCCAGTCCCGTTCCTCCCACAACACACTTACCTCACAGGCCTTGAGGATTTCCTTGGGCATAGCTGAAATGGTAGGACTTTGGTTTGGCAAATAGCTCAACCATTTTATGTCCCAGGACATAAAAAACATCTGCTTAACTGCTCAGCTTTGGAAAGGAAAGGTGCTTGTTCTCCCTCAACAGCTATTTCTGTGATAGCAGCTCATACAGAAACAAGGGTAACGCATAGCCCCCGTTACATCCTCTCCAAAGACCGTCACTTACTATTTCCTAGCACCTCCGTCAGGCTAAGGCGAGTCCTGAGCAAGACCTGCAGGCAGAGCAGCACATTGTACGTTTGTGGGTACAGCTCACCTAATGCACTCGCACAATCCGACCGAAGCACAGGGTAAAGGCCCAGGGACGTTCGGGATCTACTTGCCTTGGTCTCTAGCTTTCCATGCACGCAAGCTGAACACATTACACCATTCAGCAGCTGTGGTCAAAGGCGCTTCCAAATTGCTTTTCAAATTTCGAAAGCTCTGCAGAAATCTCTCCAAAAATGCAGAAAGCTTTATTTTTAGGTTTTCTTTAAAAAAAAGAAGAAAGACACCACTATTTGAAAATAGCATTGAACTAGAGGATATACTCTTCTTACAAAATACAGGCGTTGAACTTCTATACTCACCCAAGTTTGTCTAAAAATGCCCCCAATCCCTCCACATAGTTTTCCAGAGGCAGCTTCACCAGAGCTTCACCAGGAACCAGGAATGATAGCCAAAATGCAACTCTAGAGCTACAGAAGATTGTGATGAGGGAAAACAAAACAAAGCAAATAGCACAAAAAAAGAAGCACACTAACAGAAAAAAACTTTAGGTCACCAAACACAATGTCATTGCTGTTTTTAACCCAAAACAATACAGTTAGGATGAAGAGGTATGTGCAATTCCAACTGTCCAGCTCTTCAGCAAAATTGAGCCTCTCCAGCATCTGCAGCAAATAAAAGATTCCTCAAAAAATAAATCACTAGTTCTGACATTCAAGTATAGCACAAGATCAACACACAGTGATAGAATTAATTGCCTGTTCTACCAGATTTAGACTCTCCATAGCTCTACTTTTATATCTACTAGTATGTACCGAGAGAAGGTCTCCATTTCTGGGCCCCACAGTACAAGAGGGATGTGGAGAGAGTCCAGCGCAGGGCCACAAGGATGATCAGGGGCCTGGAACATCTGCCCTATGAGGAGAGGCTGAGGGAGCTGGGCCTGTTCAGCCTGGAGAAGAGAAGGCTGAGAGGGGACCTGAGCAGTGCAAGTAACAGGAACCAAGAAAAAAAATCCCCCCTTGGAGACTAAAGAAAAGATTACAGGCTAAAGAATACATAAAAGTAATGAATAGATATTTTTATATTATATATATTTTAGACCATCGGTGCATCCTTACTGGAGATTCTCGTTTGGGAGTTATAATCAGAATTAGAGTTTCATGCTCTTCAGACAAAATCTTACATGCTGGTGTTATGCAACACAATTCACTACTTGGGTTTAGTGAATTAAATAACAAATTTAGTGATATTTATTACGAATCTAGTCAACTTTGCTGCTAAACTCTATATGATATGGCTCATATGCATACCTCTCATTAGCACCTTTTGTGAGAAGAGTAAACAAGCACTCTATTAAAGCATGATGAACATTTGAGATGATTTGATCACTTGCCTCTATCTTCTATCCATTCCAACATATTGCTTTCAATATGTTTGTAACATACAGAATCCCCAGTCACCTGCAAATCCAGAAGTTCAGTTGCTTGTATGTTGTCTGCAATGCACCCACATCCTAGCCATCTATCCTCATATTTCTAAAGCCATTTTTTTCCCCAGCCCTTAAGTGTACTGACATGTATTCTCCATTTGAAAAGTTAGGCAATAATTTGACAATAAAGGTCGTTAACTGTAAACCTCCTTGTAGCACTGAAGATCTTGGTAGTGACAGGATGCCCCCAGCTCAGGGGCTGTCATGTAACCACTGCGTACTGACGCTCACCTATACCCAGTACATTAGCAAGTCCTATGCATTAACTCTCAACTGTATACATACAGGAAGACAGACGTTTATTCATATTTCTCAAACAAATGTAATGCATCTGTGAACAAGTCATTTTATTGCAAGTAAATATTTTTACTTAAGATCATGAGACGATTCTAATCTCAAGCAAGACAAATCAATTTCACAAACTTAATTCACACAATGCAAATAAATGCTTCACATTATAGACATTTAGATTTTCTTTAAACCTTTTTATTTAGAGATTTTTTTCTGGTAAGGAGATATACCATAGGAAAGCAATTTCACTGGCAGTGAGGTATGTATATACTCTACCAAAATACTCCTCTTGTTTAACTGCTTTTAACTTTATTTACATATAAAGAAAATATCAATGCATATCCTTGGCTTAACTACAGTATTAATTACCCTATATGAGTAAAATGAAATGTTACTTGCATACAGAATTGATTTGTAGAGGAATCTGATTTATGATTTAAACAAAAATCATGTTCTGAAGACAGTTTAAGTGAACAAACACAGTTTATCATGACCAAGACACCTGCACCATATTTCCATCCTCACAGCACATTTTATTTCAGTAATTCTGTAAGTAGGTCCTTAGCATGAGCATAGTGTTACAGTTTTCATACATATAATCACATCCAAAACGAGCTCTAAATTTTAAGTTGTAAACATTCTCTTCATATGTAGAAACATTTCAATCTGTGTTCAAATTCTCTAAAATGATCAATCTTTTAACAGAATTATAAATGAAAAGTCTACTCTAAACCGTGTAGTGAGCAATGCTTATTAGTACATTTCTACAGTGTTAAATAAAATAGTAGAGGCAAACTTCTGTAAGCAAGTCAGATTTTAAGTAAATCATCATAAAGAAACAAACTTGTTAACAAAAAGATGCTTTATAATAATGAAAGTTGGATTTGAATCTACTATGATACAAAAACATAAGGGTAAATACCATCTTTGTTGACAAGTAGGAGGTAGCATGGATGCACCACTTTATTGTCAGTGAGAAATGCAACTGAAGTAAAGAATATTTCCTTACCACAAATTTCCAGTATTATGTACATATTTCTCTTAGAAATTTGTTTAAACAAGTTTCCCTCCACTTTTTTTTTTAGTACAAAAAGCCTCATGTGATTAAAAAAAAAAAAAAAAAAAAAAAAAAAAAAAACAAAAACACTTACACACCTAGATAGTACTAATTGCCCTATTTGAATGAAACAGTCTCTTGAACTATGAAGTACATGATATTTAATGCCCTAAGTTAAGTAAATTGTATTAGCAGTTCTTGGTATTATACAAAACACTACATACATACAAACAAAATATAATAATATCTTATTTTACTATGTAATTCTTTTTGGAATAAACAGAACCTTGATTTGGGTAACACTGCAGAGAATGTGGTTTCTTTTTTTTTCTTTTTTTTTTTAAACTTTATTAAAATCTGTCATTAAGTACCCATGTGCAACAATTTAAAAATGGCTGCCATACATGTAATGGTCTTGTATTGATAGTGAACACGGTAACTGACAAAAACATAAGAAACTTTAAAAACACATCTTCCACCCTATATAAAATATAAAGACTACTTACTGTAACTGTTAAGTATTCAATTTTTGATGTTCCTGTAATCCACTTTTTTCTTTATGATTTATAAACATAATTTAGTGTAGCAATTTATTAAAAAAAGATGAAGTATTTCAAATTTACATCCAATTCAAATTTAAAATGTTTTCTTGGTCTATGATGCTGCTTCTGCCATCAGTAAAGAAAATGAAGTTTCAGTAATTGAAGCAGGCTTTTTGAGTAGTGATGTGACTTCAACCATGCCAGCTCCAGTCCGTGGAAGATTTGCGTTGACAATGTGTCGCTGCAAGTGCTTTATCCAGTCTTCTTGAACAGACAAAGGTCCTCGAAAGACCAGACCACAAAACCTGGGCAAATATTAAGATTATTCCACCAAGATATATTTAGCAATACTGAAAAATGATCAATTCGAGGCATTAAATAAGAAGTATTTCTGCAGAAAACTTTTCTTAAAAGTTTGCTCCTCAGATTTCAACTAAAAAGCTTTACTTACTGATTTCATTTGTAATAACTGAGTATACGTATACATACATGTGTGTATATATATTTATACAAAAATAATTAAAATAAAAAAGTAAAAAGTTCAAGCGTCCCTCATATTTATAACACTAGAGATAATCTTTACCTCTTCAACTTTTTTTCTTTTTTTTGGGTGGGGGGGCTGGAGAAGGGGGACAGAGCGTTACCCAAAAAGGACTTTAGCAAGAGCAGCAATCTAGTAATCAAGTATGACTGATTCAAGTCCTCTTGCTCAAATTAAGGGAAATAAGCCCTTAGTAAGTTCCCTCCAGTTCTTCGCTTTCATCACACATGCACTTACAGGATATAAATATTCTTATGATTATAATTAACAAGCTCTTAAAAAATGTGTTCTTTCACATAAAGTAGCCATAAGTACCTGCATCTGAGTATGTAAACTTCATCAGCACTATGAGGTAATGGCAGCATTTTTTTCTTGCTTCCAGATCTTGACCTTGACTTCTTTTGCTTACAGTCTAAAGCTAAGAAGACAGAAATTTCCACTTGTGAAAGCAATACTTAAATCAGTCTTAGGCCAAACAGAGATATTCAGCAAGTATCCCTTCTGGCACTGGTAAAAAAGACTTCTACCTGCTTATTCTATGTTTAATTATATGATAAATCCAAAATAATTACAGTGTGTGCTAAGAAATTTACTGGTAAAGCATGTTAAGCTATTTCTTAGTTTAGTACAATGTTTGCTCTTTAAAATACTAATTGACTCTAAGCATTATATTAGTATCTTAAAATCAGCAAACATCTACCAACCTATAGAGGAATTACTCAGAAACAAAGCACCACCTGAAATTTCCTTTCATCCTTAACATGTTGTCATAATCTTTGTCTTCAAATTTGTTCTGTAATTCAAGCAGCATAAAAATCACACACATGTTCACCCAGATTATTCAACTGCACAGAGGTGTAGTTTTTAGATTATATTAAGAATTTCTACTTTGAATGGAAAATGTCATTTATTTTCAACATAAAGTAAATGCTCTGTTTTTATATTAAGAATCTCAGATGAAGCTCCCCCTTCATTTCTGTTTGAATTCTATAGTATATTATGAAAAATAAGCAATAAACCTTTGCTGTAGGCACAGATATTAGGACAACCAACAGGCACAGCAAGGTGACTAGTTTAATTCAGTCTAAGCATATAAAACTATGTATTAAAATAACATGTGCGAACAAGAAATACATAGCAAGGGGGTATGATAATCATTAGAAAGGTCTGTATCTCCCACAAATAGATGAAAGAGGAGTCTGTAAGAAAACCTGAAGATTCTAGGAAACACCTGAAGTTGAGGGAGGAGGGGATTAGACTGAGTTAATATTGTTATGATGATAAAGGTCAAGAAAAAACAAGAAATTTGGGACTATCTGGAGAGGGAAGCACATCTAGCTATATTCTGTTCCTAAGCTCAAGACACTGACATGAGAATTATGCAGAAATCTATGACAGTAAAAAGCATTATTTTTAATACAAAAAGGCATATGCTATAATACTGAAACACCTTAGCAGGAAGATTCAAAGTTTTCACTGGTGTTCTACTTGGCTAAATTTTGACTCATGTAATAGAAAACAGAGCAAATTGCTTAGTACCCAAAGCATAGCACATTGGCTGAAGCAAAGCATACAGACTAGAAAAATAAATAAATAAATGGGCTCAACTACATCTTTCACTTCTGTTCTTCAAACAAGCATCTCATATGTGGCTATTAACCAATAACCAATGCGACACATTTTGAGCTTTCCCAATTATGTCCTCAGATTCAAAGATTCCTATAGTATCCTGAAAAAATGTAAGTCGGTAGAAAATGTGATGACTTTGAGGCCTGAAGACACGTGAGAACTAAATTCAGAATGCAGACACCAAGCTACACAGCTCTACCCAGGCACTGCAGGATGTCCATCACTAGGAGAACGAGACTCAATGTTTTTAACTGATAGTATTAACAAAAACAGCTTGCATATATAAAGAAAATAACCCAAAGAGAGAAAAATGGCCAAGATAACCGCTGACAAAGTGATCTAGATAACTGGTATGGAATTTCTTCTACTTCATGCTTTTATCAAAAGCATAATTTCTATATAATTAGGAAGAAAAAGTACTAATCTTTTAGACTTTATAGACTACCATTGAACATGGTACAAGAAACATTAAACCTACTACAACATCAGTAACAGCATTGTCAGGAATGTGAACAGCCTTTGGAAAGATGAGATCAAATGAGATGAAATCCAGACACCAGTTCTTTGAAGACAACTGTTTTTATGAGGGGAGAGGTATCTTAAGCAGTTATTACAGCAAAAGCTTTGCCTTAACAGATTTTGCAGAACAAAATGTTTAGAAGAAGCCATCATCTTATCGAAGTGCAAAGGCATCCATGACTTGCATCCGCTGCCAGTTAGCTGATGTCCACAATTACCTGAAACTTAAAACAGCTCATTTTCCTCCACATTGGCAAATTTAAGATGCTCATTCCCATGAAGAAACTTGAGCCTACTCACAAACATCCCAAGCACTTCAGACAGTCTCCTCCTTACTCCTAAATTGGTCTTCTGTAACATAGTAAGAGTTCTTGAATCCCAATAATTTTCAATGTTTGTGTAAACTCCCAGGAAAATAAATCCTTAACTGTTGTGTAATCAAGCCAACAGCAACAAAAATCTGCAGAAACTGCCCTAATACATCATAAAAAGTAGTTTCTACTTCCCTCCAAGTCACCTTCTTCCAAGAAAGTGAGAAAACAAAAGAATGGGGATCTTCTCAGGGTCATGTAAGACATATGCTCTAGATAGAAAAATTTTAAACAAAAAGAAAATATTACGGTTAAAGACATCAAGAAAAAAAAAACAGATCATCTGATGAACTCTTACAGTAACTTATCTAAGATTCAAAGTTGCATATTAGCCTAGCAAGAAGCAGTTACAGAAAACAGAGAAATACTAATACTAATCTTGTGCTCTGTAAGGGATATTTTTTGTTCCCCTTTGTCTTTTGACCTATTGAACACATTTCTTTACATTTTAGAACACATTTCATTACATTTTAGGGGGCACAAAGTAGCACAAAGATATTTTGAAGTCATTCCACTGAAACAGAAATGTGGAGAGAGAAAAAAATCTGGGGGAAGTCTGACTGAAAATTATAATTTCAACACCAGTTCAAGACATGCAACAGCAACTGCCACATTGATTTCATTTTTGTCTGTCCAGAAAAACAAGTTCAGATGAAGTCACAGGCACACACTTGCTTAAGTACTCTACCGATATGATGCTTACGATGAACTGAGAGCATCAAATAAAACACACCATTCTTTCACCTATATACGAAGCGTCCCAAACTGTTACTGTTCTTCTAGTGCTTTTACTGGAATCAAAGCATAATCTTGGCAGGAAGTGTACAGTTTGCACTTTCAGGAAGAGACCAAGATGACAGTGCTAGAAAACTACATGGAAAATTTCAGGACACAATTGCAGCAAACTGCCAGAAAAAGGCAAGAAACCTGGTATGCACTACCTACCATTACACCTACTTTGTGGCTATTACAGCTTTCCAAACTATCGTTCTCCATTCACTGCAGAGGGGAATGAAAAAAACCCTCCTTCCTTCAAGTTTGGCCATGTGCTCTCTTGTAGTTGCCATATCCAAAAGCTTTTGGGAATAGCTGGTCACACACCACTTCATCAAACGCATGTGGTGCAGCACAGCAGAGAGAAACAACCCACTTCAGAAACGCAAGACGATCACACTTTGGAGAGATCTCTGACAAAGCCCACTCCAATCTCACTCCATACTGCTTAACAGAATATAGGCTATGTAAAAAAGCTACACACACAAGCATATATATAAAAATAATAAAAAGCTTTTCACCTCAGTGACAGCTTAGCAAGAAAGACTACAAGAAGATGGAGATAGAAGGCTAAAATGAGTAAGCTCAGGACAACATGGATTAGATAAAAATCACGACTAGAGGTCCTTCATTCTATGACACTTGGTCTGAGCTTCAAAACGAATATGCAACCATGCTAATTTTCAAGCAGCCCAAGTCCTGCTTCTCAACATCTCCTCAAAGGGAGCACCTTAAATTTCAGAACACTGAAGCTAGGTCTCCTTATTAGGACTTCACTGCTTTTGCCAGAGAACAAAACACAGACCTAGCGTAGGCAATCATAGTGTGTAAGATGAATAACTGCATACATAAATGGGCCTAATTAGCCATTTAAAAACATTGCCAATTAAAAATTCAAAATTAAATATGTAAGGAAGACAATTCATTATTTACTAATTTATCAAATTAAATCGTTATCTATCTTTCGTCATCAGAATTAAAAAAATAATAATAAAATCCAGTAATTTGCTCCCTGAGAGATTTTATGGGATATTAGTTAGTTCACTGTGCTGCTTGATCAATTATGACTATAACAGCACAGAATAAAGATATGTGAAGCCAGTGGATATCAGATTATTTTCTTTGCCTACGTATTGCCACTAAAAAGCCCTTGATTTTGACAAAGTAATAGTAGAAGTTACTTGGAAGTATAGTAGCCACATGAGCTATTAACTCTTTATGCTGTCGGCTCGAAGGTCAGACTCCTTGCTCTGCATTTCACTCTTCTCCAGACTTCTGAAAAAGTGGTCTCCATCAAGAAAAGCAGACAAAGGAAAACAAAAGTGATGATTCTCAGAGGATGACAGCTGGTAAAAGATGACTGAGCACATGAAAAGAAGAGTCAACAAATAGAAGATGTAAAAAGCCGAGGTGCAAGAAAGGTTTAGGAGACCTCAGGGCAACAGAGGAAACTCAAGAGAGTAGAAAGGGAAGGAAGCTTTGGATAGAGTGTATTAAGCAGAGCAAGAGGCATTTTGAAGATTCTGCATAGACCTGTCTGATATTTTAAAGATCCCCAGAAGTCAATCCAGACATGCTCCAAGAAACAGAAATGCTATTTACCCAAACAGGTCACAAAAGAAAACAGGAACACTCATCTATTCAAGATGAGTGATTAAATCATTATCTTGTTCAAAATTGGATGGTTTAGCACAAAAGTTTAGCTGACTGCAATGTTAAAGACAGTCATGCAATTGCTAATATAAAATTATGTAATTATGCAAGCAAGTGTTTCTACGGTTAGGCATCTGCTATGCAGATCCTAACTGGATAACTATATTCAGAAATTACATTCAATACACGCTAGGCTTCCACAGCCAACAGCCTAGACTGTCCTAGTTCTGTTTTTTTTTTTTTTTTCTCTTGAGTCCATTCCCAAATTGACTCTTATGCTTAGCTACTTCTACTATACAGCTACAAATGTCAAGTTGCATTCTGAGAAACTAGGATAAGAGTTGACTAAATGTGATAAAATTACAGATTCTGAGGAATCATGGCATCTGCTAGGAAGGCAGTCTAGTAACAGTCAATACTGACAACATATGCAGACAAAGCAGCGAAAAACTGAGCAGAACATGAGTCTGCAAGCTAATGTAGCCCAGGGAAACTTGCACTTCTGCTTCGGTGACTTGAATAGATTACTATATTTCTCTTATTAAACAGTAAAGCCTAGATAGTTCCCCTAACAATCGGTGTATCATATAGGAATTATGGCACTCATGTTTGCATAAAATTATTTAATTTCAACCAGAAGTGGAACAAGTATCCAACAACATAATTTCTTTATGGTACCTATGTTTGCTTTAGAAGATATAAGAAAAAAATGTGAAAATTTATTCTATTGTCTTCATACAGCTTCAAAGCTGAACACAAACTGAAGACATCTCAAAATTGCTTTCAAATGCAACCTTTTTTCGTAAGAAAAGTGGGGATCCCATGAGCAACACTCATAGCAAGATTTGAAACTAGTGTGTGCTAGTAAAATCTTGTATTAGTCATTCTCTTAAAAAAAACAGTACAATATAGTGGAATATCAAGTAAAACCAACGTTTAAAAGCATATTTTCTGGTTTGCCAATCTTTTCATTGGGGTTTTTCAAGTGAAAAGCCAACAAAAAGTAAAGTTCACAAAGTTTACAAAGTTTGCAAACTTTTAATAGGAATAGCTAAATTAATACTGGTTAATATATGCTGGTTGCATAATATTAAAACTAAGACTTAAGTTATAGCTAAAGTCACTGCTTTCAATAAAAGGCCTTTATCTATATGACATAAAATATTATATGGCTTCCAGGTCCAAACAACACAAAACTCCTGAGTTGTCTTTTTAAGATCCCCGAAAAAAACACACACACACACACACACACACACAAAAAAGGCCAACTGTTCTGATGAGTAGGCTACTACTCAATCAACAAAATAAATTTCTTAAGAAAACATATGCATAATAATAATGATTAAAAAACCTCAGAGTATCTTACACACAACCTTAACTTTTCTCATTTAGCAAAAAGGAAGCTGAGGTACAAGGACCCCATCTCTCTGTGCATCCAACGTCTTTGCCACAGCGCCTCCTCCCCTCCTCCATTTAATTATCATGACCCTCCCAGGTGCCACCTGCAGAATCACTGGCGCGTTCTCCTGCACAGGGCGCACGCCCCATCTGCTAATGCCCAAGTCTCCTCCGCTGCAGCGCTGACGTAGCGCAGCGCAAGACCTGCCGCCCACGGTCCCCACAGGCAACAGAGTCGGTCCATGGGCTGTTCTTAGCCTAATGAGTAACACCTACTCATCAAAAGTATATAATGCTTTGGTAAAATGCATGATCTGATCTGAGCATCTGCACTTGCTAAAGAGAGGGGAGAAACCCTGAAAACTCATGGTTGCCCTTAACTAATTAATATTCCAAACTTCCTATCTCCCAATTTTCTACTATATTCCGTCTCTGCTCCCTAGCCTGCTGTTGATCATATGAAGCCCCACTAATCTTAGCAATACTCATAGTGAAGTCAGGAATTTGCCTACAACCAAGCAAACTGCAAGTCTCTAGAAATTAGTCTGCATCAGAGTATAAACTATTACAGGAATCGCAGCATGAAACGTGTTTTAATTAAAAAATATATTAATAGCAGTGTCAAGTGTTGTAACACACTCACTCCTTGTCAGATTGGGTAGTTTTTGATTTGTGAGCCAAATAAAAAATTAAATCAACTACATATTGTGTTGTTAGAGAGGCATATATTGTAAAATTAGTTGCTTCTCCTACTTTAACTATTCTTAGTAATAACATATGACTTGTAAAAATTACTGTAAAAAGTTTTTTTTATTGATTTTTGAGATACTTTTAAAACAATTTGTGAGAAGGCCAGCTAGCCATTTTGAAAATTGTGATATGGTGGGAGAATGAATTGAAGCGAACATCTGTTTTGCTTACATACCTTAAGTATTGGATCCAAACCAAATCATTAAGAATGAAAATCAGACATGAGAGTGGACAACAGCAACATACCTTGTTTACAAGTTGCTGAAGTTCTATGGCAAATGCAAATTCTGTTTACCAGTGAAAGCTTCAAAATTATTTTGAATTAACATATGCTTTTGTCCAGTCTGATGAGGAAAATGCATCATAGACAGACTTGCTTTTACATCTGTAACAAAACATACCTGTCCCAGTCAAAAGTCCAGCACTCTTCTTTCGTGCATAAGCGCGTAAGTGGTTGGACAGGCTAACAGCACTTGTAAACGTCGTATTGCAATGCACACACGTTCTAAGCTTCACAGGCATACCTATCATTCAAAAGAAAACTATAATCCAGTTCTCTCTTCAAAAAATGAAATTCTCAAAGCGTTGTAAAAAGTTTTCTGTAATAAAGATGGTTTAAAATATATTCACTGCATTGATGCAATTGTTTAGTATATTAGAAGGATCCAAGTTAACCATCATTAGTTCTTTTACGTAGTGCTTTAAGCCAAACCATGTTATTTGGAAAGAAGAGAAACGGGGCAACCTGGGCCCTTAGGCTACTCTTGATTTAATATCTACTATCAAGTTCCTACAAATGTCCATGTTATGCAGATCTAACCCCAAAATACAATCTTGCAATTTGAATAGCATAGTTATGTTTAGAAATTTCAAAGCTTGCCATTTTCCCCATTAAAAAAAAAATTAAAGTCTAGTTGACAAAGTGGTAATTAAAGTGTTTTACCCATAAGAATAAAAAAGCTCAGAACTAAATTAGGCTGCTGTTGATAGCTTGGAGAAAAAGGTGGTAAAACATGCCACTGAACAGTTGTTATACAAAATATTTTGTACAGTGTATTTTCTGTTCATTACTTTAGATGCACAATCAATAATGAAAGGTAATGATTTGAAGCTTTTTTTTTTTTAAGTAAAATCTCTGTGCTAAATAAATACCATGTTGCTTTGATCGTTTATCAGAGGAAAACATTGAAATTCCTCGTTTACTCAGAAAAGAATCCATTACAACTCCCTCAATCCTGCTGGACTTTACCACAATTCTCTCCTCTTTAACAAAGACAGAGTATTTGGTCACTTAAAACTTACAAAAAAGCATTATAAATAAATAAATAACTCAGCTGGAAAGCCTATTTGCAGGAAAGAGAATTCTACTCTCCAGCAGCCCACAAAAGACACTATTTTTTTCAGGCAAGAACACTTGGCTGGAAAAAGACTTTCAAAAAAACTAAAAACAGAAATATTTGCTATTTTAATTAATATTAACCTGTTTCAAAATGATGTTAAAGATTTTCTTATTAACTCAACTGACACAGTGCGTTAGTTGTCAAATTCTGTTGCCTCAGCCACAAATAACTATAGGGCCCCATTCATAAATGTTAGTATTATGCAAGCCATGTTTATTTTTACCCAGTTGTTCAACACAACCAAACAGGTACTCCCTAATATTCATCAGGAAACATTAAACAGAAAGCAGTAGTGTCAGGTTTGGCAAGCTATTCCTTCAGTGTTGTTTTACAAATAATTAATCCTGTCAGAGATATTCTTCCTTTACTAAGCAATCTCCTCTCTTAAAGGACAACCACAGAGATCAAGACGATGTTCCACCTCTATCATCTCCTTTTAGAAAGCCATCTTTGTTAAGGAATGGATTGCCGCACTTGGAATAGTCCCCTAAAAGAACTTCTGAGCACATCAGATTTTCTGTTATTTGCCTTTTTGTATTTAAAGGAAGACAAGAGTATAGGCGAAAAAGTACTAGGCCCTGACAGTTTTCTAACCTGCACTGAGTGATAACAAGAAAAATTAACAGAACCAAAAAGTCGTGTGTATAAAAATAAGATCCTGCTGATCAGTCTAAAGAATGCTGCAGCATTATAAGGTGGTGTCCAAGCAAGAAACAAGTAAATGCAAGCTCTAGATATACACTAAAAAGGATGCTCTAAGAATTGCCCAAGACTAGAGAGAAGTAGGTTAAAAATGTCATTTAAAAATCTGCTCTATTAATACAGAGTGTCTAGGAAGCTAATTATGGAATTGTTTTGTTAGCACAGTTCTCAGAGGAGAGGAAATATCTGTCCATATCAGTCAGGGGTTGAGCATTAGAACCCTGCTGGCAAGAACTGTATTAGAACAAAGCTTGAACTAGCACAGGTCTTCACACAGGATGGACAGGCCCTAAAAGCAAGCATCAGTCTCCTAGAGCAGCCACAATTTTACAACAAACAAGAATTAATTTATGTTGAAAGAGTAAGTTGGTCTAAAATGCCAAAATTAGTCAATAGAAATTCATCATTTTGGAATACTATGCTTTTATAAGTGTATCAGCAGTTCAATCAATTTGAGCAAATGCTGCTTTGCACAAGCCTCAAAGATTTAAATTAAGCAGTTCCAAAACCAGTAGTCTTAGAGCCCAGAAACAGGGTCACAAGTCCAAATGTCTGAGAAATGCTAACCTACCAAATGCACGTCAACTTATTGTTATTGTAGAATGTGTTTTTTCCCTTACTGAGACTCATTCTGTATCCTCTTTGAATTTGCATGCCCAACCATAAGCAGAATAAGAACTACATTCCATGCAAAAGAATTTGGTGCTTCTGAATATTTGCTTTAGGAAAAACATATAAGAAAAGTTTGCTCTGCTACCTCTTGCAGTCGGTGTCCTCTGAAAATGAAACATGAATTAAATGAAAGGAACTCCAAGTAAAATACTCTAAACTCATCTACTTTCTATGAATGAAAGGAGCCTTTGCAAATGTAGTTAAGATAGCTAGAAACAACATCTTACCTGACTGCATAGTCAAATCCATTTTTTGCGGCTGATACATCAATGGACTGTCTTCATTTAATGGAAGAACACATTTCTGAACAAACCTCTTTCTTGCAGTTTGATTATGAATCTTTTGAGGAGAAATATCAGGATTCCGTTCGTCTCCCAACCTTTTATTTTTCAAGAGTTCTATCAGTGTAAGTGACTGATTTTTTTTTTCATCATGTAGTACTGCTTTTGTTTCATCACATTCATTTAGGAAACTCAGCCCTTCTTCCTCTGAGGCAGACACAGATGTATCTTCAGTCTTTAGGCCATTATGGTATGCTTCGAGAGGTATAACATTCTGAGATAAAAAGTCATCATTCGATGCAAGTTTCTGAGCAACAAACGGTCTGGGAATAATGCGGCGACTGTTCAAAGCCTTTAGGATTTTTTCATACTTCTCTTCATTTTGCATCATCTCATTCAGAACACAGATGGGAGACTTGTGTGCGTCCCACTTGGTTTTGCCAAGCCTCTTCAGGTGTCCTCGCACGTGATTAGACAATCCAATTTTAGTATCAAACCAGCCTCCGCAGAGCTGACAGGTGTGCTCAGAGGAAGTTTCAGATTTCTCAATTGCTACAAAGAAAATAATCTTTTTCAAGTATTTTGACACTTAGTAACACATAGTTAAACATTAAAACAGCAAACCACATGGATAAGAGGCTTTACAACCAGATAAAGCGAAAAAATCTTTGTCCCCTTCACTGTCTACCCAAATGAAACAAACAAACTTACCTTTTCGAACACGTTTAACAGGAGTTCCTGTTCCAGTTCTTTTAAAATGTTGCATTTTGTCACTTGTTGCTATCTGTTCTGGTGAAACAACATGACGGGCTTCATAGCTTAATCCAGCTCTGTGCAGATGTCCTCGGACATGATTGGACAAGCCAACACCTGTTTCAAATGTTGCTGGACAGTACGGGCAGGACTTCTTTTCAAGTGACAAATCAGTCCAATGGAAAACTGAATTATGCTTTGGCAATGCTGATCCTACATTTTCTAAATTCTGAGGATCATGCAAATCATGCAGGAAGTTACTACCCTCAGCATCTTCGTAATACTCAAAATAAAAGCCATCATTCTGCTCATAACTAAGTGATGATTTATCAGCAGCTTCATGATCTTCCATTTTACCTTTGAATATGGGGAATAGGTTTACATGCTCCTGATTAATATCACTGTAAGGTTCATCCTCCACAGACTGTGTAGTGTAATCACATAGTTCAACATTATCCCATGAACTCTCATCCTCCGTTTCATAGCTGTCTTTTTTTTCAGCAGAGTTAAGTTTCTGTAAAACAACAACAGTCATTTTATGCAGAAAATCTGGATAGCAATCCAAATCATCTCCTGTAACAGAGCCTTCCCTGTTGGATTCTTTAACCACTCTCTTTACAGCTACATGTCTACAATCTTTATAGCCCTCTGCCGTTTTGCAATCAAGATTATTCGAATCCATGACAAAACAATTATTATGGGGACTACCTGATGAAGAAAAATGTAAAGAATCAACAGAGCTGGACTCTCCCTGTTTTAAACATAAAGGATAAGAGTCACTAGATTTTTTAATCATCCTGTAGTTTGCATATTTGTTTCTATACAAATAATTACTGCTTCTTTTGACACTAGCTTTCTGCTTTGCTGCTTGACGAAAATATTTAGGTTTCTGGTCAATGCTATTTCTAATCAAACAGGTCTTGTCTGTAGAATTTAGATTGCGCACACTTACAGATGACTGCGAAACGCTTTTCCGAGCCTTCTGTATCCTGTAGGGCCTCTTGTGAAGTTTTGTGAAGTTACTGGACTGTGAAGTAGAGCCAAATGATCTTTTCACATCCTGTTTTAAAACAGAGTTCTTTGGAAAAGTAGAAGATTGCTTGATCAACTGTTTTGTCCTGCTACCAAAATCTAAAGATTCTTCAATTATGCTGCCTTTTCTTTTTTCTAATCTAAGATGGCTACGAAAGGGATCAATGCATGATGTTGGATGCAAATATTCCATGTGTTTTTTTAAAATGCTTCTAGCTGATGTAGTAAACGGACACATCTTACACATATATGCTGATGACTTTTTTGAGGATCCTAAATATGGATCTTTCATGGATGCCTTTTTCTGTGCTTTCCTCTGGGATATGTCACTACCGATAATTGAACATTTGACTACTGCTCCGTGAGCAATCCCTCGATGGCATTCCAGCTCATTTTCTGTCACAGCCATGAAATTGCATTCCTCACAGCAATAATATCTCTTATCTTTTTCATGGGTCTTTGCATGCTGCACAAATGTTTTGGGACAATTGGTACCAAATACACACTGTGGGCACTGTAATCGTGCACTCCTACCCTCATCCTGAAGTTCTTTCAGCTCACGGATTTCTTCCATCAGTTTCTGCCTTCGTTCCTGGTGAATTATCATATGTTTAAGCAGCGAATTACGATCTCGAAATGTCCGTCCACATTCCCTACATGCATAGGGCCTGGGGACGTTGAGATGTCGGAAATGACTGTTCCCATCTAAATGGTACATCATATGCCTATGAAGATGTTTCTTCTCCCTAAAATTCACATTGCACTTTGTACAGGGATAAAATGATGGTTCATCAGTACTGAAAGTAGATGGTGATTCAGAATCATTCTGTTCACATTTGTTTTTTAAAGTATTAGAAAGAAAAGTGCTAGTGTGAACAGGAGAAGTATCTTCTGCACAGTTACTAGCAGGACTATAAATCAGCTGTTGAATAGCATCAACAGCTTCCAACTCTTCATCTGTGGATTCAGGCTTTACTTTACTCAATGAATATCGTTGTGGTTCTATTTGTAGCTCCTCACTCTGCTCTAAGAAGTCAACATTTAGCAACTTTGATTTACTGGGAATATAACTGGTATCACTAAAGCAGTCTTCAGTATAGCGTGTTATTTTGCTAACATCCATTTTTCTTTTTCTCTTTTTTTCCAGACCTACTTTACAGTGAACAGGAGACTTCTCTATGGTTTCTTCATTTGTCATAAGAAACTGTATAAACTCTTTTTGAGGATCCCAGCTGGGATCGCATCCTGATCCGAAACCACTTGTACCTGAGGAAATGCCTGTTAATGTGTCAACGCAATCATCTTTTACTAGCAAATTTTTATCATCCTCACAAACTTCTACTTCGCCTACTAAAGTGCTATCTACACTATTTCCTACTGATTTCGGTGAATCGCAACCAACTGAAGCAGAGGTAGGTAGATTTTTAATGGAATGAGTCAGGTTCTTAGCATGTGCTACATCAGGTAACAAAAATAAAACTTGGTGCTGATTTGATGTCTGTGTTGTACTTTTTGCAGGCAGCTGAAGATCATGAACCACTGTCAAAGCTGAGCACGAATCTGTATGATGACCTACAGACTGTCCAGTGGTTAATGACGCGCTGCCTTTATTCATAATGGAAGTCTTGGTGGAGGTGGAGTGTGAAACTGGTCCATTAACAGCAGATCCTCTAGACAAGATAAAGTTTTCACTAGAAACAGTAGGAGCACCAGTGTGAATAAATAAAGAAGTCTGGCCTCCACTTAAGGCTTTTTCAGATCTGTCCCTTGATAGCTCCTCAGACAGAGTCAGTGTACTGTTCTTCTGAAATGACGTGTCACTCTCTTGTGGTTTAGGAATGCCACTGTCTTCCTCAGATATGAAATTATCATCACATAGGATTTCTTCTTTAGCACCCGTGACTTCAGGATTTATTTCCAAATCATCCATCCTGCTGGTCTGTCCATTAAGTACATTTATACTAAAAATAATAAAAAAACACAAACAAGAAATGAATCAGACATTTTAAAAATTAATCTACACAAATATCAGTTTATGGACTACATTAATAATCATACGGCGAACTACTGACTCTTTAGTATCCTAAACACCTATATGCAAACACCTACATGCAAACAACCTCTGCTAATACATTACATGTACCTAAATACGAGCACAGTTCAATTTTGGTATTTTCTCTGAATGTAAAAAAGAAATTTATGCGTAAAGGCTCTGCAGACATCTGTAAGTCACTTTGGTGAACTTAACCATGCTTGCCCTTAGCATCTGTGAAGCTAAAATATTCTTTACATATCTGAAAACAGCATTTTGCACACAAAGTATTTGTATACCACTGACCTGATACACAGAGGCTTCCTAAAGCTTTGGTATTAATACAGAAAATGCAAAACTAGTTCAACTTTTAATATTTGATTACTGACAAAACATAGCAAAGGATCATAAAGCTCACTGAATAAAATTTATTGCCATTCCCATTTTACAAAGAATTCTCCTTTAAAACCAGATCCTGTTTATATTATATGGCTACGTTAAATGGTAAGCAAGTAAAATAGCATTACCTAGACAAATTAAGAAACTGAAAAAAAAACAAATGTTAATTAGGATTTATGTATCTTAGCAAATCACCATGTTGAATCCAGAGCATGACAACAGCAGTGTCTGCTAATATAGAAATCTACTACATATTAATTCCCTCTGGGATACTTCGTGTGCCTAAGTAAGTTTTTCTACAAGTGATTTTCATTTGCATGCAAAATGATCTACCTGACACTTAGCAAGCACAAGGGGTTTGCCTAAACATGGTAATCAGTATGCAGTAAACCATACTGTGAATTCAAGGCTATTCAGCACTTACTACTTTTGTGGACCCTAAGAACACAGTAGGAATAAACCATTAAAACATCTACCCAGGAGCTGGAAGCATCTATCAACATTTGAAGGTGATGATGGGGAAGGTGGGCGGAAAGGTACATCGCAAAGCACACTACCACACATTTCATGGGTAAGGAGATCTCTGGGGAGATTTGGCTCTGTCATCACACATCTAGCTCCAGTTACTAATTAACATTTTGAATAAAAAGTTCTGTTAAAAGGAGTCATTACCTAGACTCCTTCAATTAAGATGTTTTAACTCACAACAAATGTCCAGAGCTCCTCGCAGTGGTCCTTCATTGAAACCATGGAAGGCCACGTCTGACATCTTTTTCCTAAGGAGAGAAAAAACATCCTGCTTAGAGGACATCGCATATCTTTATATATCACTGCCTAAAATGTTCAGAACTGCTATTTGCTTTTTGGTTATCATGATACAGACTTACCCATGCAATCCAAGGCTACCTATGACCTCATGCAAGTTTGGCCATAGTATGCTTGCTTCATATCAGAAACAAGTATTCAGTTTCAAAAAATATTTACTGTAATATGACTTTCCCATTATTTTTAAAGCAAAACAAAAACAATCAATAAAATATATTTTTAAAGGCAAAATAAATTGTATTTTAAGTCCAAGTATAATGAAGCAACTTTTCAATGCAAGAAGTTAAAAAAGTTGCCTTTGCTACACATTCACTGAACAACTCAATATAGAAACATTACAGCCATGCACATCATTTTAGTAAGAAGTGGTTGAAATATAGAAAACAACTATTTACAGGCCTCTTTAAAAGCATGGTATTGAACAAACTATTTTTTGTTGTTCCATTTCTTAAATTTCTGAATCTTTGCTGCTTTGACATGGTTACGTTTCTGCCTTAATAAACGGCAGACTCCCAATAAGATTGCATTCAATGCTATCACCCTAAAATGGTGATAATGCACCACCAAGCAGGAATATTTACACCATACAGACAAGTTAGAAATGGGCAGCAGAAACATGCACTAAAAATCAGGAATGCAAAAGTCAAAGGAAATGACAGCTCCAAGCGTGCACCACTGCACCTGCTACAGTTTTATCACTGCATATACTATAGCATAAGCTTCAAATAAACTGGGCAGCAAAGTTCAAAACTGTACATACACACAAAGAAATCTAATAAGTTACTTACACCAGAAAATTGATGTTCTCATTTTATTATTATAGTAGAAGACAAATGCGTGCTCAGACAATTTGGGAGCCTTTTCTCAACAGGAAACAACACCGCTAACGAAGTGGTAAATTCAGTGTTAATGAGTGGCTTCACTGCTACCACGTCGGAGGTAAAACCTTCCATGCTCCCAGTTCCCCCCATCTGTTCGGGTGTGAGGGCTTCGCGGGGGAACAGACGCTTCCCGTTCGAGGCGCCTCTCGGCCCGGGAGCAGCAGGGTGGCCCCGGGCAGCGCGGCCGCCCCGAGCCCATTAGCAGAGCAGCTCCCCCAAACCCCCCCAAGTTCACACAGCCAAGACAAGACTCTGCTCTCTGCAAACAAAACTACAGGCCAAGACGCTAAATGCTGCCGTTAAAACTTCAGAAAAAAACAAAAAGCACCACGCAACCACCTATAAACCAAGATTCCCTTTGAAGTTATCACAAATAGCTAAAATTCACACTCTGCTATTTTTTAAATAGACTCCTTCCATTATTGTGTATTTATAGAGATTGCGAACTATTCCTTATGGATCACATTAAAGGACTTCTATACTGTCCCTATGTAATTCAATCAAGGATCAAGCCCAAAAGCTTACTATAGCAGTTATATCACTGTAAAATTTTAATCATTTTCTGCTAATTAGCACACTTTTTTTCAGCTATTGGGATGGTGAAATTTCTTATTTTATGTGTAGGACAACAAAAAATATGTTAAAAATATGCTAGCAGGTTTAAAGCAGTGCTATTAAATGAAGTATGTCTTTTTATATTACAAGAATTGTGATGTCTTGTGAGTCTTGTGATGAGAGCTAAAATTCAAAATCCAATTTACAATAAAATTATTGCTTCTGATATGTAGGTACGCACGCAGTAACAAAAATACATGTAACTAGATCAATGCAATAAAACATACACGGTGCCATTTGTTTTTGAGGAGAATACTACTGTTCCTACACCACTTGGGGAGCTCAATAGTCCCTCCCATAATCTGAGCACTTTGGGCAGGGGGAGGGAAAAAAAATTGCCCCCAAGCACTGGAGCAGCTAAGATGCAACCAAGACTATACAATCTTCTTAGCAATACTATACAACTATCCATTGCGCATTTTTAAAAGCGTCATTCTTCCGAAACAGAAATACATAGTACTAATTTAATGTACTTGAAAAGCTACACGTTGAGAGATAAGCTTTTAATTTAATGCTGCAAATAAAGCTAAATGCACTCCCAGTCAAAGCAAGCACTGTGCAGTTCGCCTAAATCGTTGTTTAAGCACAGAGCAACTGCTGACTGAAATGTTCCCCGACACAATTTTTGTAGGTGCTACTGCGGTATATTGAGGCGACAGAGGACAAATCCAAAATGACAACACTTCAAATGCCCGTACAAACACATACACATAGAAAGCATTCAAAGATTTGGCTAGGCCGCGTTCCACTCCATCTCAATTTAATGCTGGAAGACTTGTACATTTACATGGTAATTTCTTAAACAGTTTTCAATCTATTTATTTCTTCACAAAAGATCAGTTTTAAAAAATCATAATGAGTTGTGTAGATAAGGTTGCCTGTGGCCACATTCTGTAAGCATTAACAAAAAAAAAAAGGGGTCAGATCTGTCTTCAAGCTGACAGATCATCATTTAAATGCCTTAAGCTAATCTTATTGTCTCAAAAATCTCAAACATCAGTATTTTTGCAAACTATCAGCACTTGCTATAACACCCATACTACACTACATCTTGAGGTTACTACAGAAGAAATGAAGTGATAATTGCATATTAACATAATTATTCGGTAATCCCTCTGAGCAAGCTTCCTAGGTCACTCAGTAATTCAGATTAGATGCAACCTTCCTGTCATCAGATCTATGCTGTCCACTTTCTGTTCATTAATAATTCTTTTTGATAGGAAATGTACTTAACTCCATTCTTCTATGTACATTATTAATTGTATTTATTACAAGTAGGTTTACAACATTTCCAAGTTCTTATTTCACAATGAAAACCTGTGCTATGTAATAGCTAAACACACTTAATTTAGAGTAATGCCTTCATTCAAAGCTAGTTCATTAAAACCACACTCTGGTGCTCAGCATAGTCTGCTGTTGTCTCCTGGCAGTTTCAGTTAGAAATCTATCAAGTTTCTGGTGTTTTTTTTTGCTCGTTTTTGTTTCTTTGTTTTGGGGGACAGTATTTTTCAAGAGTTTTAGGATGCGAAAGCATGCAGGAGCTGAAAAACTAACATGGAGCAATTTGGAAAAGTTTGTGAAAAAGCATGAAGTGCTCTTCTCTGGTCAAATGCTAAGTTTCTCATTAAATTTATAAATATAAGCCAACAAGCTAAAGTTGATATGGTGACTATTAAATAGTGCAAGAATTTAGAAATAAATTTCTAAATATTCTGAATGTACAGCCTAGTTACAGAAACGGAAGAATCTAAGTTATTTCAGCAGTGCTGTAACAAAGGCAAAAATCCACCCCCCCAAACACTTGTCCTGTGCTAAGTAACTCCCGGTTAAGTCAAGTTCTTTAAGCAGACTTAGAATAACCAGGACAGTTTTCTTCAAAATTTTGTTAGGTAAATAAATAAATAAACCTAATAAAATCCTTCATTTTATCCACAAGCATGCCTGTAATAAACCTAAGATATACAAGCAGATGAAATCTAAGTCACAGATTTTTATGCAACAAAGAGCAGACCAGAAAGCGCTTACATTTATCATGGCATGGCACTAAAGCAGAGGCTCCTTCCATTACTGACACAATATACAGTCTATTCCTTTAACTTAAGGATGACGCACAGGAAGAACTGAAGAGCCTTTGGAAAAATAAATGACCATCTGGAGTAAGAGGAACTAGTACAAGTTTTACAAAAGTCAACTGAATAAAGAGACATTAAGTCAGTAAATGTTTTAAAAAATATATTGCAAGACAGGTTGCAAGAAGGTTTTTTTACTATTTTAAGTTCAGATTTTTCAGGGAAAGTAGGATGGTATTCTTCGAATCCATCAACCTGAAAAAGTAGCTGAAGTTTTCAATAAGATTAAATTTAGAAAGGTCAAGCCTCAAGCATAGTATTTTCCAGAAAGTTTATTTACCCGAAACTTTGTTTCTAAGAAACAGCTTTTTCAAAAGGTATGCATCCAGTAACGGAAAATTGTTTCCTTGAAAAGGAAGCCAAAATTTTAGCAACTTGATTTCTTGTCTGGAATGTTTGAGAGTTGTATTTTAACATCTTACATCTTAATGAAAAGATTTCAGAACCGAAGCATGTCTGTCTTAGAACTGAAAAAAAATCACAGAAAATCACAGAATACCATTACTGCCACCAACCATTCTTAATTTTGTTTCTCTCACATTGATTTGTTTGGGAAAATAAATCAATTTGTCACTTAAAATAGGTTGCGTTACGTTAAAATTCAATACTCAAGTCAATAAAATAATTAACAATATACATGTCAAAAGAATCAGGTATGACTTCTTTTTTCTTGTTGTAAGTACTAATGCATTATTTTAAAAGGGTTATATTGTCCAAAATTATTTTTCAAGTGAATTAGATATCTCTAAAAGATGCCTAGCCAATACGAAACCAGATTCCAACACATAGTGACTTCAGAACAGCTACAGCTTGACTAGAATCTCAAGACTCCACAACTCCCCAGCACACTGCATATCTCTGTCCATAAAGAATAACTGACTACTTCAGTACCTACATTTATGCAGGCATCGGTCTTGTTTGCATTTTCAGTAGTATGATCAAATCTTGAATAACTTCAACTTGCTTCTACAAGATCGCAAGGAAGACTATTTTATGATTGTAGAACTTCTTCTACACTAATGCTAAAATGAAAGTCCTGCTGTCACTGCAGCATATTTTGACTGACAAAAAAGGGAAAACAGTCTCAACATGGAGCTGTATCCTGCCAAATTATTGTGCTATACAATCAAGTTATTCTTTTCTTCCCTGAAAATCCAATTTAAATGACTGGTGCATTTCTCTGTTCTTCCATATTCCTTTCTTTAGTTTATCAACTATTTTTTTTAACCTTGTTTAAAAGGCTAAGAGGTAATAAGAGTAAGGCACAAACTTTTATTAGCTTTGTGGACAGAAAAGTTGAATACAGAATCTTTTTCTAAAATGTTATTTTAATATAGAAGAAAACTTGACAAAGCAGTTGTTAGCTTTCTGTCTACCTTCAAGCGAAACATTACAAAGGGAGACACTACCATGAAGCAAATCTAATGTTCTAAAATTCCACTGAAGCACACTACTCAATGGAAATAAAATGCTTTAATTATCTTAGTACTTACTTCAAACTGGAGACCATTAAATCTATCTTCGGAGAATACTATTAATACAATGAATTATCTTTAATGACTTCCTGGACATGATGGCTGGATTTTCCGTTGACATAAACAAATGCAACTCTCTCCAGGAATTCAGATAAAAAGTATTTTCCTTTTCAGTAATTAAAAAGAAAAAAGAAAAAAAAATGAGAAAAAAAACAAAGCTACCTCCCTTAAATCTATAGCTTTAAAGGAATAAACCCAGTTTATCCACCGTGAAACAAGTTGTTCTGAAGCCAAGTACTGCCACCAAGTGGTGGTCACTTTCCCTGTGCAACTGATTTTTTCCCGCCTGTGAAGGCCACAGAACTGAAATACTCCTCCTGCCTCTAAAGCAGTATGACAGGCTCATGCTGTGTCAAGTCAAATACTTAAAACTAGCCAATGTAAGTAAAAAGGCTGAGTTTTCATATGCAAATCTGAAACTGTCTTTCAATTTAAAAGTGATTCGTCCTACAGTAAGTGAAGAACATCTTCCATCAGATGCACACATACTGGAGCAAGTTGATTCTAGCAACCTGGCAGCTTCTCTGGCCACTATGCAACTTCAGCAACTGTAGAAAACGTAGGATCACTCAAGTGTTATTCTCACAGTAACCACAAACTTCAGAGAAAGCCCAACTCAGTAAATGGAGCAAAAACCTTTAAGGTTACAAACATCCAGCTTTTTATTTAAATGGTATGAGCTTGTTCACATTTATACTGTTACTATGTAAACATAACCATACTGGGAAGTATTTTCAGAAATCAGGTTCGTCTGACTGTTTTGACAAGAGTATTTCTCAAATGAATCCAACTTTACTGTTCATTATCTGCATCAGTTAGCCCTGAAGTGTCAGTACCAAAGATCACAGAGGAAGAGAACCTGCATGACAACAACATGATGCAACGTAATGGATTTACAGTGCAATATTTTTCTTGAAGACATTAAAAATAGTTCAACTCAATTTTATTGAAATGTACCCTGGAACAAGCAGACCACCTCTCACCATCTTTTATTACAGATATAATGTCTATGATCAAGGCTTAAAAAAGCTTGCAAGGCTTTTTTTTTTTTTTTTTTTTTTTTTAAAGGCACTAGCACTGTTGTTTACTATCTTTTACTTTAAGGGACAAAAAAAATAAATAATCTGTCAACTCGAAGAGTTACCTTTTCAAGTAAAAATCTTCACTACTGAAGTGTATTTCATAAAACACCTTTACAACTCTATACTAACTAGATGTACAGACAAAATTCATATTCCAGATCATAAGTCACTCCCCTAATCATTGTTAAAAGAAAAAAAAGAGGCACTCATGAATGAATGAATTAACACTTAAAGTTGAGTTTTACTGTTATCAGAATAATATGAACAGTAAAAGGAAAACTGTATGAGATTCCTGCCCAAGCCAAAGAAACACAACCAGACATGCTCATATTTATCATCCCGTGATGTTTCAGCTTCTGCTGAAGTTAGGGCATATTATTAATTTGTTACATTATCTGTGTTTAGGTATAGCAACACTGAATACATGCAAGACAACTCCTGGAAGCATCTTCTGGTAACTTCTGGTTTTGCCTGATCTCACAAATGTTTATAAATCTGATTTCACTTCCTATGCCATTATAGGAAAATTCAGCACTATTTCTATAACCTTTCTGATTGCATATAAGAAAGTGTCACCTATTATACCACTAACCCACAAAGCCCAATAATTGCTTGTAAATAGTATCTTAATTGTATGCACTTTTAACTAGCAACACACTTTTGCTTCCCTAATGTCAAAATATCACACTATTTTCATTAGAAACTAGGAAGCAAGTCATCTACCATTAAGAACAAAACAAAAAACACACAAATTCTTTATTCACATAAAGAGTACTTGCATAAAAATACATTTCCATAGTCTTTCAGATTTTTTTTCTCATCAAAGAGTGTAAGCAACATGTTTGAGCAAATCGTTAAACTGCAGTTCCAACAGTGATAACCGTGTACACCAAGGCAGGAGTGCACTCTCACTTACAGGCACAGCAGAAGTTCAGAAGATGCTTTAGTCACTAGGCTTGAGGGAGGCAGAAGAGGCAGTTGGGAGCTGCAGCTTGTTCAACACAGATTCACTTTCAGTGTATACGAGTGATACCAAGCATTTTATAAAAGCTTTTGTATCATTGCCTTGGTTATCAGTTTTTTATGATGAGAAGCCTATTTATCTAGTTCCTTGTAGCACCTCTACTTACCCCTGCTGCCCTTCTCTAAACCTTCTCCAGTTCTGCTGTGTTTTTTTGAGTCACAGAACTAGATTACAACTGAAGAGGCAACACACACTATAATGCATGTATGCCATACTATAAATGTATATAGCCAGATATCCATTTTCTTCCCTCCCCCCCCCCCCCGGGAATGTATAATGCTTTTTAGTGGATTTAATGACTGTTCAAGCTGTCATCACCACAGGACTGTGTCAGAACTTCAAGATCTTCTTCCAGCAGTAACAATACTGACCAAATATCACTACACTGTTTCCATGAGCTTTACACATTTTTCAGTTCTCTTGCTATGTATGCAAGAATAAAGGCCTTCTCCCCAGAAACTTTTTTTTTTTTTTTATAATCTCATACATAGCCAAGATTTTATACATAGCCAAGCATCATGAAGATGAAAGGACTTTGGAGTTTCATTCAGGTTTCATGCTTAAACACACATTTACTTACATATTACAGACTTCTCAATTAATTTTCTAGGCACCTATATTTAAACAAGAAACTAGATACCACATAAACCAGAATAGAGCGAATATAAACTAAATACTGAAAGCTTTTGAAGGCACTGGGAACCATCTAAACCTTACAGCAAATTCAAGCCACCTCCTGAGCCATGATTCTTTTTGTTTAGAACTCAAGCTCAGATAAGAAGAAAAATATTTCCTCTTGCAGAGTTGTATTCCTTTTTGTTTATTTTTCCTCTCTCTCTCAAGTGACACATTCAAGAAAACTTTCAAGTCAGGCTACAACATTAAATGCTTCTCTGCATACACACAAGCATATACACATACAAGCAACAGATATTACCTTTTACTTGTTCATAGTTCAGAAGGCAATTCATAACCTAAACCCTGAATGAGTTACACATTACACAAAGGACTCACACTGAAGAGAGGAGCTGTTTTCCATTTTCCCACAAAGCATTAGGCTTTAATATTTTAAATTTGAGAGCAGTCTCTTGAAGAGACTTAGCAGAAGTCTTAGCAGAACAGAGGATACAAAGTAAGGCCTATTTTAAAATGCACATGCTGTATTTTTTTTAAAAGCTCTATGAAGTATTTTAAGTTTACATATTAATCAGAGATTAGAATGAAAAAACAGGCTTCTCAGTGCAGTGAATTTCCCTCTCACCTCTTCAAAATATTAAGTTGCCCACAGCTGCACTACTCAGAAACTGCCTACTAGTTAAGCAGTAAACAGGAATTTAACAGAGAACTTAGCTTTTATTTGGCAAGGAAATTTGTGTAGACATTATAGCATCAGGATCTGTCTTTATAGTAAAGAAAGCTCATGAAGTTTAGGGATTTATCTAAAAAAAAACATGAAAGAATCAAGCTATTTTAAAACAGGTTAGTTCAAGATTTGTTTCACATGATTTAATGGAGTTAAAATTCCATTAATATATATGCCTGTATATACATTTCTACATAAATATATAAATTTATATATGTATATATGAATATTTATATAATATAGTATAAATAATACATTACTTAATATATTTTGTATTTATATTTATTTTAATGTACATATATATATATTCCAATATATGTACACATTTATATATATATATATTCCATATAAATGGAATTTTAATTAATCAACATCTATTTCATAGTTCAAAACTTCCCTGAAGCAAAGCACCAAGTAACCTCAACACAAACAAAGCCAGGGCTTAGCTAAATTCTCCATCTCAGACTAGTTCCTGCAATGGGAGGGAGGAGGCAGCGGAAGGTTCGTAATGCCCAGCCTCTATAGCCCTTGGGAACTATCAGTAAGCCTCCTTATATTTAGTCTTTAAAATATCTCCCAAAAGAGTTCCTGAGGACAGGAAGAAAAGTAGAATTTCATTAGTAAAAACATGAAATGCTATTCTGATAGCTAGTCAAGTTTCTTATACACCTGTTTGGTATGAAAATAAAATTTAACACACTACTCTTGACAATGCAACAAACTATTTTCTGTACCTTCAAACCAGCTGGATAACATGCAGAAAAAGAAGCTAATTTATAGTCTTCCTAATTTTGGTTCTCAACAGCTAACAGAAGCCATAACAACTTCTTGACCACAATAATTTATGGAGGAAAAAACATACAGTTGTCAACATAATTTTACATGTATTTAAATGTAGTTGGGGGGATTGTTTTGTCCTTTCTTTTGGTAGCCTTTCCCATGTCTACAAATTATAGTACTTGAAATACAAGTTTCATGAAAATTCTCTTTTTTTCTCCCCACACTGATCACTTTTTTGGGAGGGGGCATTTAACAGTATATGCTATTAACTCCAAGGAATTTGGCAAAAACATTTTTACTCACCGTAGTTTCACTTGCATCAAGCTGAGAGATCCACTTCCACACTAACACTAACCTGCAAAAGAAAACAAGGACTTACTGCACAGTTAGCACTGTTTTCTGCTTGTGCTCCAGAATATTTAACAAGAAAAGCAAAAGACGAAGGTAGGAGATCCCTACGATGCATCCTATCAATTCCATCTCAAGTTAGAAACACCAAAATCATAATATCTCTCAAGTGTAGATGCAGTTTTCAACTAACACAGATGTTAGTGTTTTAATTATAAAAGGTACCAACATAAACCATATCAAAGTGGGCAGAATAGAGTTGCAGAAAGAAATTTTCTGTTGCCTTTTCTGCCAATGTATTTAAAGTCTGCTAACCTATGTTCCTTGAATGTGGAACGAAGCACAGAAAGGAAATGGCAACAACTGAAAGCATTTTTCTGAACTGCTCTAGTAAAAAGGATCAACATGTGTGAGTAAGTACTGGAGGGTTTTAATCCTGGGCCTCACTAATTCCTCACCTTTCCTAGGGAAAAAAAAAATGTTAATTAACATTTCTAAAGTTAGCCATCCCATTTAAAAACAGCTTACTTTGCCATCATAAAGGCTGATTAATGTCATATTTAATGATTTGCCATTTTGCTCATGGATCTTTAAGAGGACACAAACTGTACAGAGATTCCTCACTTCCCAGTTGGAGGTATCAGACCATGTAACATTTGCAAGAGACTCTGAAAGTCACTGTAGCTGCAAGAAAACAGGAATGAGTTTGGGAACATATCCCCTCTACAGAATTTATGTAATTCCCGTGAAGATGAAACAACCAGAATATAACTTTACAGAATAAACTATTTATATCTAGACTAAATTAATGTATCCAGCACCAAACTTAACTCTGAAGGAGATTATCTGTCCTCACAAATGGCCTAAGACCCCCCTCTCCATTTGTGGGCACACAGCAGTTCTCCAATTCTGAGCTTCCCAGTCAACTTGTAAATGTCTCCATGCCACCTGCCTGTACTTCACAGGCACAGCATTACAGAGGTCAGTCCTTTTGGAAAGATCTCACCACGGAACATGCAGCAGCAAAAGTCAAGTCTCCAACCCTAACTAGCTCTTCCCCAGCTCCAAGACCCTTTCCTGATTATCACCTTAAACTGCAATGTTTATATCTCAACACTATACAAAAGGTATGCTCACTTCACAAATCAGATTACCCCCACCCCCAAATTATGTTTTAAACAGGTTTTAAAGAGTTGTTTATATGTGACAAAAAGTTATCTACAAGCAGTAAAGCACCTCTAGCATACGTAACGGAAGCCAACTGTCAAATAACAGTTTAAAAATTTCACAGAAACACACTCTGCATGTATGAAGAGCCAAAATGCCCTTCAAAACCATGAAAGAAGGTCTACTCAGGTCTTTGGCAAGCACCAAGATTAGCACTAAAAATCGATGCCTTCATAAACTTGTGCACTTTGGCTACACAGTCAACCCCAACCTAAAATGCATCTCACTGAAAATAAAAATTACATCAGTGATTCACCCCCTTGCAGGATACTCTGAGCACTGCTCTGACAATCCTCACATCTTCTCTATGTTACAATTAACTAAACACTAAGAATAACTATTCTTAACATGGATGTCAACGTTTCTGATTTCCAGTACAGACAGAATTTTTGCATCAGCCTGAGCTCAGACTCCTGAAGATTATTACTGTAATGATACATGAGGCCCTCGCACCATCATTATCACTGTAACAGCCTTTTCACAGTTACCCAAAACTTTACATCAAGCAAGACAAGGCTAAGCTGCAAGGATCACCTCTGAGGCCTGGGCCCCTGACAAAGGGAGAAGTCTTATCCTACACTGCCCACCTGCGGGATACTCACTCTTGTAGTCACTGAACACGTCCTTTGGGGAAAACTCGAAAGCAAACGCGCTTTGGTTGGCATGGAGCTCACCAAGCACTTTGAGGGTAAATTTGAGGTGATGCTGTACCTTCATATAGCATACAGGCAAGGCCAAAGTAGGCCCAAGAAGCAATATCGAAATCACAAATGTGGATATTGCTCAGACAAACACGCAATAACTCAAATGTATCCAAGCTAAGAAAGAGACAAAAGAAAAAAACAACAGTGAGATTTTTTAGAAAGTATTTATCTGAGGCCTATTTTAAAATATAGGGGCTCTAGAACAAGCATTAAAGATGACTGCACTAAACTAGTTAACATGTCTAACCCAACCAGCTATGGAAAAACTACAAAAATTTCCCTAACTATGCTTTTCCAAGCTAACTGCTGCATTCAAATTTCAGGGTCATAAAAACTATCAAGATAACTACAGATACCCACCAAATAGAACAGAAAACATTTCATCTATGACCTTGCATCCAGCGCATAACCACTCACTCTACAGTGTTTATAAAAATAATTGTGTTCAAATATGTGTTTTACCACAAGCAACTTGCCTAGCTACTCCTCTCATAAGGACTGGGGTCATTGGAGCTGCATCCTACAACTGTTTTTTCCAATTCCTGCCATTAGGTTATTAGGTCTTCTTCAGGATAATCAAAAATCTGCTCAAAGTATTTCAGAAATATCTACTAAAACATAGTCTTCTCTGTGGAAAAAGTTTTAAAACATTAAAATGCAAAGGTGTACACTGATGAAATAAAACTTGCAGTAATTCTGACAATTTTGATGGCTCTACTATTTAGTGCTTTTATTTGAACAACAGAGAAAATATTTACAGCAACAACTAACACTTCTGTAACTGTTTAGGAAAACACACTTAACTAATCACCAGCTTTTCCTGGAAAAGTTGCAGTTGAGAATATAATTCAGGGAATTTTTACATAGATAACAGGTATAATGCAATGCAAAACTAGCTTTTGCCACTGTAGTTGATTTTGCTTACAGGGAAAGGAAGGAAAACAAAGGGTAGAATAAGTTATTCCAAAAAGAACTGGTTTTGTTAGATTAAGTCATGGCTAAACACTCCACTATGTGGTAAATTCAAGGGTGAGGAGAAGAACAGGGGGAAGAGTCTTCCTAATATCTGATGCAGCTCTGGAACCCTTTCAAAATTACCCTAAAAAGGGTTATTGCAAAAAGTGCAGAAGTCCCAGCTAAATGGTAGCCACAACTTTATGAAAAGTAACATAACTCTCAAAGAGGGCTAAAGGGACATAGAACAGCTGAGACTAGTCTCCTCTGAATAGGTTAACAGAGCTGAATAGCTCTTTGAATGCAAAGCCAGATTGCCATTTTCTCAACAAGTAATCAACAATGACCAGTTCTGTACAAAATGTACAGTTTCTTACTCTGTTTGCACAAGAAGCTTCGATGCTCTGATTCCTACTTAGAAAGTCCAAAAATAACTTAAACTCAATACCCACAAATACCCAGAGCTAATATTCAAAGATAAAGCTCAATAATTTTTGAAGTAAATTTCCCAAGCAAAATAGCAGTTAATGTTCTTGTAATAGTTATTGAAAAGGGATATTTAAACACAAGTATCCTATTGAAATCTGAAATATCCAGAAAGCAAAGTAAGCAAAAAAAGAATAATTCTTAGCAACATAAAGAAATCTTGGAGATGGTTCTGACTTCAAAGAAACCTTCAATGAGTTAGAGTGCAAGAGCAAAAAGGACACTCTTAAAGAGAGCATGTAAGTGTAGAAATGAAAGAATGAAAGAAAAAAAAAAAGACACCTCCCGAATTTTGAATCTCCTGCTAGATTTGAGTCACATGAAAAAATGGTTAAAAGAAATTACAGTTCTTTCCTTACCTATACATCAAGGTAAAAAGTACATGCACAGTTCCCAAAGCTGTGATGGGGCTTTCCAGGGGAAATGTTTCAATATCTTCTTTTTCCACTCGAAGAAAGTTTTGCTTTTTGACAATACCCTGTACAGGGTGGTGAGGACTTCAAGGAAACATCTGACAGTTTAGGAAATGAACAGAACTGATCATAACTAGACTGTGAAGCTGTTTTAGTCCAAACAAGTAGACTGCAAGCCCATGCATGCAACTTTAATACGAGTATCACAGTATCCCCACATAGGAATGAGAGGAGAAAAAAAAAAAAAAAAAAAAGGCAGCCAGAGTAATTTGAGCAGAGAATAAAGAGCCTGTGTTTTTAAGTCACATGACTGATTTAATTATTTCAAAACACTGCACAATTTGAAAAAAAAAATAGAATATATTTCATCTGATGATTGCTAAGTAGACTGGGATATGGACTAACATAACATTTATTAAAATGGTTACTTCTCCTCTCCCTCTAAACAGGTAAAAATATCAGCAGTTCTTGCAGAGAATAAAGGGGAAAAAATTTAAAATATTTAAAAGCCATTTAGCTTTCGGTGTATATTGTTCACCGCAAGCATATAATAATAAGCATATCAACGAAAGCATCATAAAAGTCTGAAACTGAAGTATCAGATAAAAGAAGGATTTTTGAAAAAATGCAGAACTTCAAAGCCTCCACACAGAATGTATTAGTGCATTGGTTTTAAAGGTTATCAATGCATTTCTCCCCAAAGTAAGATTTTCTGTAGCAATCTATACTGTTGATAGTTAATAAGTAATTTTACAGTCCATCAATATCTGACCAAGTAAAATGGTATCTGCTACAAGAAGAATCATCATTAAAAGGCAATAAGCAGCAAAGAAATAATTTGCCTTCTTTCTATATCAATCCTGTATTGGTTTTAAGCTACAGGTCAGCATACCACTTGCACAAACATTTACCTGGACAGTTTTCAGTCATCTTTCAATCTATTTATTTTGACCACATTAACTAGCTCTCCGTCCCATGTATTTACATACTTAAAGATAACAGTTTTTCTCGAATAGGAAAAGCTTACTAACACGCAACATTACATCATCTATCCATTTCAATCCAAACAGATGCCACTATACATAACCTTGGCATCATCCCTGACACTGAACGATCCCTTTCACAATGGTATCAGCAAAATCCCTTCAGTATCCCTTCTGTGCAATCCTGCCTCAGTGTCAGCTATGGAAGTCCCGCTCACCCAGTTCGAATTACTGTATATT